GGGGGGGGGGGGGGGGGGGGGGGGGGGGGGGGGGGTGTGTGTGTGGGTGTGTGTGTGTGTGGGGTCTGGTCTGTGTTTTGGGTTCTTATTATTACATTTGATTCAATGCAATAAAATAAATTTAAAAGATTACAGATCATTGTAAAACTTAATTTACATATTGATGTTAATCGCTGGATGTCCGGCCCCCGAGCTGCTGGCTCTGACACCGTGCCCCCCTCCCTGAGCAGTTTAGATGAAGAGCCCTGATCTAAAGAAATGTTTTAACTTGTTTTAAACTCAAACTGCAGCCCCAAGAGTCCCGAGGCTTTGAAACTTTATTTTACAAACATTTAAAACCTTTTCTAAAGAATTTCACAAAGATTTTTCTTTAAACTCTTTTCAACTTGTGAAAACTGAAGCTTTGGTTCTTTGACGGGACGTTCTGCAGCAACATCTGCAGCAACATCTGCAGCAACATCTGCGGGACGTTCTGATGTTGCTGCAGATGTTGCTGCAGAACGTTCTTTATTTGAACATTTTCACAGTTGTGTGTTGAACAGTAGGACCAGAGTTAAATTAAATAAATCTCACGTTTCCTTTTCAGATCAAACCGACTCCGGACGGGTCCAAGGAGTACTTCGAGAAGGTCAACTGAACGACCCTCAACTTGTTCCAAACTGAACGTTTAATTTGTAGAAATAATTGATCAATAAATCTCTTGAAGCTGTCGAGCTCTTCTGTTCTGATCAAGTCTGAGCCAAGGACCAGCGGACGTCGTGCTCCCTGTACATAAACATGTTTATTTTTTTACAGCCAGTTAATATGCAGGTTGAAAACGTCCCGACATCGGTACACGAGGTGCCAAAACCAACGTGGGGGTGGGGGGGGGGACAGGAAATGAGGGGAACGGCGTCGCCGCTTCTCCAACAACACGGACCGTATTTACACCGAAAGGAATGCTCGAACTCACTGGTGCAGAAAACATCGAGCTACAGCTGGACAGGAAGTTGACTTTGTACAGTCTGTTGGCAGAAGGGGGAGGAGCTTCAAACGGTTCCGGTTGGACAGAACCCGACCCGAATCAAAGATGCTGCTCGAGAGAAAACCAATCCAAACTAAGACGGATCATCGAGAAATGGCTTCAAAGAATCGAACAAAGTCGATGAGAAAACTTCATGCATTTTCAGGCAAGCTGTAACAGCTGCCCCCCCCCCACTCCACCCCCCCAGCCCCAAACTAAGAAAAGTTTTAAATGAAAAAAATCGTGTTTAAAAATAAAAGAACCACCCCGTAGTAAATCTGTACAACCAAAAAGCTTTGATGATCTACGTCTCCAGGCCCATTATTCAGGGTATATACACCCCCCCCCGCCCCCCCCATATATTATCTTTACAGTAACTTCATTCAACCCAAACATTTAGAAAAAAGAAAAAACAGGAAAATGGGATCACATCAAACATTCATTTAAAAAGCGGTTCTTCCTGCACCCGGCTGCTGTCAGTCTTTGATCTGTACATGAAACACCAGCGGGACTTGAACCTCCGGATGGATGGACTGGCTCTGGAAGGAGGGGCGCGACCATCGAGTCGCTGAACCAAAACGAACTGCGGTGAAGGCGTCAGGGTTTAAAGAGGGGCTTTGAAAACGAGAACAGGAACACCTGGAAGGACAGAACCGCCCTCCGGCCTCTTCACTGAAGAGAGCTACACGACTCCGGGTTCTGCTGCACGAACATCTGCTCCTCAAACATCTGCTCCTCTTCGCTCACCTCGACGTGTGGAAATGAATTTCGCTCAGAAAATGGAAAAACTACGTTGTACAAAGCGAGATTCTCTCGATCTCTGCAAGAAAAAACAAAAAATAAAATAAAGGACTCGTGCCCGCCGTCTTTCAGAACACGTCTGCTCCCCGTGTCGGCGTCGAGCTCCAGGTCAGTCGATTTTCACGTTCGTGTAGATCTTCCTCACGAAGGCACTTGTTCCCATGTATCCAACGGCACCTGGAAACAAACACCACGGTGTGAGTTCCTGCACACCCGTTCCACCAACAACCGGTTCCTGAATATTTTCTGAAGGAGCCGAGTTAGACTCCACAGTGAGGCTCGATTTTACATTTTTAACAATAAATATTAATTTGAAGCGTTTTTCACTTTAATCTTTCCACCTTCTTCCTGGTTGCTCTGCTGTTTAAATGATTCTGGTACAACTTCCTGTCAGACAGGAAGTAGCAGTAATCATTGGTTAACCATGGCAGCAGAGCACGGACCACAGTTTATTTGAAAGTAATTTACATTCAGTTCAGCAGATAAAACTGTTTTTGTTTTGTTCACATTTATTTAACAACTATAAAGTTTACTAAAAGAGCCGTGCTGCGTTCAGGTACCTGTTGTGT